GTAAATACTACTAGTGCAATTGCTGAATCATAGGGTAATTCTATTTTTTACCTTTCTGAGGACCTCCATACTGTTTTGCAGAGTGAATGCAACAAAATGGTGATTTTGACTATATTTCATGACTATCTCCTAATTACCTAATTAAGAATACATTGTAGTTAATGTTTTTAAAATGAAAAATTAGGTTTGGGGAGACTGGGTGGCTCAGTCAGTTAAACATCAGACTCTTGATTTTGGCTCAGGTGGAGATCTCAGGGTCATGAGATTGAGCCCTAAGTCAGGCTCAACGCTGGGTGTGGAACCTGCTTAAGATTCTCTATCCCTCTGCCCTTCCCCTGTTGTGTGCAGACGCATGCACACATATACTCTCTTTCTCAAGAAACAATAAATTAAAATGAAAAATTAGGTTTTACCTACAAAATAAATATTTAGTTACCCTATAATATGTAGATTCCTACCAGTTTAAAATAGCTTATATTTGGAAAATGCTGCAGTTAAATACACATTCATTTATTACATCTTACAATAAGCTGAGTTCATCACTGAAGAACTCTTCCCTGGGTTTTTGTAATATGTTGCTGCAATGTTCATTATTTGGAAACACAGCTACATTGGGTCAATCTTTTAATAAGTGGGACATTCTATGCATTATAATTTATAATTATATCATTCAGGCTACAATTTGAATCCATTCATCAAGAATAGAAAATGTTTTAGAAAAAAAAGAGAAAACAAATTATGCATTCTAGAGAGTTGGTTCCAAATGTGGGTAATATTTATTCTGCCAATCATACTAATGATTGTCAAGTGATGCCAGTTTTAGTGATAGATCTTAAAAAGTCGATAAGGAGATTCAAAGGTGTAGGTAAGTCAGATGGCAACTTTCAGACTTTAGAATAATTATATATTCAGAAATAATTTTGTCAAAAAACCATCAGAATTGCACTGCCCATGTTGACATTAGTGTATAGACACAGTCTTAAGGGTAACAGAAGAACAAAGTGGTTGGTGATACTGAGTGCTGCATTATTTAGAACAGGATTTTTCACTAGGGTGGACATTATTTGTTCTGTATATCTCAACTTTAGAAAGAAATACAAAAATTATATAACAAATATTGTAATTTTTCTTTGTGTGTGTATGTGTGTGTGTGTGTGACAGAGAGAGAGAGAGAGAGAAAGAGAGAGAGAGAGAGAGAGAGAGAGAATCGTAAGCCGTCTCCATGCCCAGCGTGGAGCCTGATACAAGGCTCGATCTCATGTCCCTGAGATCATGACCTGAGCCAAAGTCAAGAGTTGGGTACTGAACCAACTGAGTCACCCAGGCACCCCTATAATTTCTAATACACAAAAGAACTCATTCCAAAGAGAGAGCATGCCTTCTTTTTCATTTGGGGTAGCAATCAAATACAACAAATGAAAACATTTGTTATTACTTAATATTACCTCAAAAAATACCTTGAATTCTTGGATGACTTTTTGCTCTGCTACCACTTGTAAAATAAAAACTACTCTCATCTCTCACCTAGTCTCCATTCCTTTCTCTGCTCATCAAAGCTTTACATCTCCTATGTGTGTAAAACTGTGTGTAAGTATCACATACATTTCCATCACTTCTATCTTAATTAATGTGGTCCGATAGCACTTCCCACTGGGACCCTTTTGCTTTCAGTCTGGTCTATTCCCAGTCCATTCCCTATGTTTCTATCAGAATGATCTTTCCAAGAACATAACATTGCTCATAACAATTTGTGCTTACAGTCCTTCTGTGGCCACCTTCAGTTTTTGGACTGGCACTAAACAGCTTCTCCCTCTGGTCCCTGCTTATTTCTCCAACCTCTCTTTTCCCACACACCCTTCCCTCTCAAGGATCTGAGCTACTTGCAGTTCTGGAATGCACCACATTATATCACATATCCAATCATTTGCTTTGTAATTTTTCAAGAAGACCATTGGCCCTTCTTTTCTCAGCAACCTCTCCCCTCTTGTCAAAAGTGACCCTTGGCTGAGCCCATTCTTCAAAACTCTGCTCCAGTACCACCTTTTCTAACTGCTGTCATTTCACTTATCATATTGTGTTGTCATCATTCATTGCTTTATGAGTCTGTCATTCCCAGTGGAGGACACACACTAAATTGCCTTAGGTGGATTTCTATTCCAATTATCCATCAGCCGCTGGTGCATATTGAATGTTATTGGAATCAATAAATTTATAAAAACCATTTGTAACTTTAGCTTTCTTGATAACACTAAACTAAACTACATGTACAAACTCTATATAACAAGGTGCTATGATAGAGGCTTTAGGAATTGGAGTCTGTTTGACATTACGAAGAACAGAGCAGAACAACTCAGATATTTCCACTGGAGTTGGGGCAACTGGATGGGAAAATGCAGTCTGGCACAGGCTAGTAATATGGTAAAGTAGGGAAAGATAGAACCTAGTGTTTAGGGGCTGATTTAGCAGAAAAAACTAATGGACGGATGCTCTTGGGAGGTTTAGCTAGGTGGTAAATAGGTCTGGCTTTTAATAGGAGGGGAGAAGATGGGCCATATACAGTGTGGAATGGCAACAAGCATTAGCATATAAGGAATTCTAATAGCCTGACATAAATAAAGAATCTAGCAGAAGAGTCAAATACTTTAAAGAATCCAATCAAAGACTTGACGTCCTAGACATAAATACAGTGCTATGAAAATTGATTACATCAACTTGGGTCCTCATTTTCAAAGACATTAAAGCACTGGACAAGATATACCTTGAGATAAGGTTCCAGTTACTGGTAGCAATATCAAAGGTAAGAATGTGGTCAGAGGAAAGAAGACAGAATCATCTCCTGGGAAGATTTAAAAAGCAAAGGAACCAGGCTTCTTCTGAGGCCAAATTGCAGACTAGCCAGTCTGGTCCTGCCACCTGATCCCCACCTATCCGTGTCCCCAGATAGCTGGACAAGTCATTAAAAACAAAAAAAAACATGGACACAGTGGGGTCAGAATATTAGTTGGGAAACAGATTTTTTTTCCTGCCAGTAACATTCTTTTAATATAGTTGTTATTTGTTTATGTATCATTTAATTATTTCTTCTTATAGTATTCTTATTGTAAATTATTTTTTTTGAGTATTAATCTCCTATACTGTAAAAGTTGTAGTTTTCAGCCACTGGGCTCAATTCCAGAAAAGGAGAAATGGCTTCCCAACAAACACAAAGAGGCACATTTCTGTGTCAGAGAAAGAGGATACAGGATTATCAAAGATTATTTTGCATAAACCCTAGTTCAGACTACATGAATTTTTGGAAATTAGAAATTTTGTAATAATGTAAATAAAGTAGAAGAAATGTTTTTGCTTTCCAAGCATGCTTTTTATAACATACTTACAAATTCAACAAAATTCCTTAACACCAATTATGACCAAAGGATTTACAAGGCTGCAGACTCCTTTGATTGTTTATGATGAAACTGGGCACAGGCTGTGTGTTCTGTTGGGATCATTGTGTCTTTGATTTACAAATAATGTTTGGCACAGTGCCAGGCACATAATACATGGTCAGTTAATGTTTGTGCAATAAATTGATTAAATGAAGAGAGAGCTAATGAAAGCTACATTATGTAGCCTGGTGAGGCAATAATAATTACACACGGTGTGTGCAACTTACATTAAGTAAGGCTGAATGCACTCAAATATCTAACTCTTCAAAGATAAATGCAAGTACCCGGTAGCTCATTTAAACAACAGTAACAGAACTGAACACCTAGAAAGTAAATTTTATCACAGGTAGGAACATGTGAATGACCCTGATTACTTGTCAATAGAAAAAGATGTTGAATGCAGGCATTTTCTCTTTCTCCTCTGGATCAGCAATCAAACTCACTCACAGATCATTGATTCATGAATAGCACTATATATGTACTTTACATTTTCAAGTAGCCCGTGTTTCTCAAGTGTTTACATGACAAGTGTATTCAGTCATCTCTCCTTTTCTCAGGCATGGTTTTCCCATGATTTTTAGCAAGACAAAAAATGGAGTTTTCCTATGGACTCAATTTCTTTTATTAATTTTTTAAATTAAAAAGTCTTCCTTTCCATTGATACAGATTTGTCTGAATGGTTCCTATGTGCTCAGAAGGTGAAATGTGTTTATTTTATACATGGAGCAAAGATTAACTTTATTTTCTTAATGAACATGTAAGCGACTTGAGATGAACCAATTATGACATATCTGCACTGATTTCCGTGCCTTGACTTATTTCTCAATAGAAGCATAAAAATAAAAGTATCCACAAAATCTACAAGTTTCCCATGGAAATTTGCTTAACTTTTGGTCACTTATCTAATTACAAATGTGAAGAATTAAAATCATTGGAATAATCCGAATCCCTGAAAAAAACATGGCTCATAGCTTTCTGCAAGATGAGAGTAATATGGGAGATTTTAATGGTGGATAGATCAAGGAAATGGCAAATTGAATTTTAATATTTACTACGGAATTCCTGATAAGCAACAATTCCCGATAAGCTGCATTCATTAAAACTAATCTCCTTTTATTTCCTCAAAGCTTCCTATTTTTCAATCACTCATATGAAATTATTCGTAACACATTTAATAATGCATTGGATAAGAGTTATTTTCTCATTCTATTTCTGACAAATACCTTCAAAGCCCATATTCTATAGATACCGACAGAGGAAGTGGAATGAAATGGGACTAGAGGAAAATAAAAATCAAAGAGCAGTGCTCTTATATCAAACAGTACAGAGAATGATTCAGTGCATGAATGTCTCAAAAACGCCCTTAGAATTTTATTCTTAAAAGTCTATCTGCAGGCTTTGTCCAAATGAAAAACAAACAAAAACAAAACAAAAAAAAAATAAAACCTCTGACAGTTATCATCAAATGAACATCTCTTAGAAATGAACCACTATATCGACCGCTAAGCAGCTATGAGAAACAGCTTTCCTATTGCTGTTTTTCCCTATTCTTATTATTCTTTTCCCACTTACCTGATTGGTGCCCCTTTGGCCTGTGCTGGTCTCAACAATACAGTTATTGTGGTGGCCGTTTCATTGAGAGAGGCATCGACTCCTTCATAGTCCGGTAAAGTTGGAGCTGGTAAGTGATTGATGAGGGGGAAAAGTTTCAGTCAATTAAAAGAATTATATCATAGTTCAGGATGAATAAATGATCCTGAATGGGGGAAAATAAATTTCCTATTTAATTTTCTGAAATGTACTTTATTTTGTAGAATACCATACATAACTGGATGTTAACCCTGGGAGTATAGGCAGCAGAAGATATGAAGCCCACGGTTTGTTATTGAAATTTAAATGATCATCTGGTGACTTGGACACACACTCCAAACCTTTTGTGAAGGGGCTTTAGCTTTTAGTTTCCTGGGACCTTGAAACCAGCATTGATGGCATGGAAGTGATGTGAACAGCGTCGACTCTGGGGACTCTGGGTAAGGGGCTTGCACACGGAGATGTAGAGACGGAAATGGCAAGAAGTGAGCCAGAGGCTAACTGGTGAGGTGGTGCTGTATACGATCTAAAGGTTGTGGAATGGCCCAGTGTTAGTATCTGGACTGCTTTCACCACTGGGGCCACAACAGAAACATATCAAGGCAGTGTGATGAATGGGAATAGGAACCTTAGTTTGTATTTAGCATTAACTAGTGCATTCGTTGCCAAATTCTTGAGAAGAAGAAACTTATAAATTTTCAAAATATTTGATAATATTTTGGGTGGGGGAGAGGGCTCCCTAATCTTGAACTGGGTGAAAAAGTAACCTCAAATGGCTTTTGGTTATTTCTACACAGAAAGATGTTTTAGGGAGGACATAACAGGTGAAATGTGTACACTCTCAGAGAAACTGATAATAGATGGCATCCAATACAAATTTCAAAGTATTTCATTCATTCACTGAGCATTTACTGAATATATACATTGTGTCAATTTTTTTTAGTGCTATAAGTATAAAGACAAATAAAACACGGTCTCTGATATGTGTAGAGTTGAAAGTAGAGATTCATATTTACCAAGAATGAGAATCTCATAAACAACAACAACAAAAAACTATAACAAAATTTTAGGTGACTAAAAGAAGAGTCAGTTCATTTGTTAAAACAGTAGCTCTCAAACTAGTCAGATCAGAAGCCCATGGAGAACTTCTTAAAACAGATTGATGCCTTTTCCCTTAGAGTTTCTAGTTCAGTAGGTCCAGGGAGGAGCCTGATACCGTGCATTTCTAGAAAGTTTTCAGGTGATGTTGATGCGGTTGGTCTATGGACCACACTTGGGAGAACCACTAATCTAAACTAAACCACTAGTCTAAACTAGCATGGGGAGTCAGAAAAACAAAACAAAGACAACTTCAGGATTCAGAGGATGCTTGAGTTGAATGTCACAAGAACAGTACAAACTCATCAGGACAAGAAAGTAGTCAATACAATGCCTGAGACAGGAAACAGAATATCTGAACATGTCATCACATGAAAGGACACTGCATTCTGACAGCTACAAGCAGTCTGGTAGGCCTGGAACTTTGGACTATGAGTAGGAGTGGAGGATGAGAGAAGCCATAAAATTAAGGGATACAAATGCTAATTATGTATGGATGTTTGGGCTTTATCCTACTGAATACAATATATTAGATTTTGAAAAAATTGGGGCGCCTGGGTGGCGCAGTTGGTTAAGCGTCCGACTTCAGCCAGGTCACGATCTCGCGGTCTGTGAGTTCGAGCCCCGCGTCGGGCTCTGGGCTGATGGCTCAGAGCCTGGAGCCTGTTTCCGATTCTGTGTCTCCCTCTCTCTCTGCCCCTCCCCCGTTCATGCTCTGTCTCTCTCTGTCCCAAAAATAAATAAACGTTGAAAAAAAAAATTAAAAAAAAAAAAAAAAGAAAAAATTTAGGAAGGAAATACATGCTGTACAAAGATCAATCGAAAAATACAATGAAGCAAGGTAAGTCTGAAGGCAAGGATAGTGCTTGGAAAGATATTTCAATGAGCTGTTTAAAATACGGTCCAGATGGAAAGGAAGAATCAGAAAGAGACAAATTACCTGAGAGTTATTCAGGAAGTAGAATCAATGGATATTAAATATGTACAATATGTAGACATATGTGGATAACATATGTGTGTATTAAAACACACACACACACACACACACACACACACACACACCATGCCTCCAATAACTTGATTTCACTTTTATTTAAAGTGTTTTTAAAGTGCTGAGGAATATAATTTCTGCACTCAAGGGATAAATAACAAGAAGTTACCTTAATATTTCAAATGATGCCGGGCACTACACTAACCATACGTTTTATTAGCTTTAGTTTGATTACTGCACGTTCCAAAGACACAGTGATTGCAGTCTAGTTTTTAAAGTCCAATTCAAGTGCCCATGTACATAGGTTGATTCAAGTAAAACTGGGCAGCTAAATAATTCAAAGAAAATGCTACATGGGTGTTCTGGACTTTAACTATAAATTTTCTATTCAATAAAAACCACGTGTCTAAACCATAATAAATTATGATTCTCAATAGTGTCCATTGTTTTACAAGTTCATGTAATTTTGTAGCTATCTCTAGTGAAAGATCTTGACTCAAATGCAGCACTGTGGCTAATTCCAGAGGGTAAGAAACCTGTTTCACTGTACAGTGATATCACCAGGTCATCTTTTCTAGTGATTCAATCAATATTTTAAATTGATGATTTAGAATTGTTCCACCAGGGAGTGAATTGGCAAATTTAATACATTGTTATTTTCTAACATAATGGATGATATTCTCAAATTCTTTTTTTGTTAGAATAAGATAAATCAAATAGCTCATATTGGAATAGCTAATATTTTTCATGATATAAATTTTTAAGGTTTTATATTCAAAACATTTCCAAATAGAAACTAGACTTCAAAAAAATAGAGAATATGTAGCTTCCTTCTGATGCAAATGATACAGATTCGGAACAACAGTAGACATTTTTAGTGATGTATTATAATATAAGGTATTATCAACATATGCTATGTAGAACTGTAATGAAAATGAACATAAAGGAACAAAAAGGCAGGAACTCAACATCAGTATTTTAATATATTAAGTAGTTGATCCTGTAACACATTCGTTTTTCAGATTTAACTCTTCAGCTACATATATAAAATGTATTTATTTTAGTAATCTTAAATAACTAAGATAACACATTACATAAGCTAATGTAGAATTCGGGCATATTATAATGCTGACTGGTGGCCAAATTTAGTCAGATTAAACTGGTGACTTGACTGGAGGGGAAATCTGTATTTACATCTGTAAATAATCTAGTCATTACAAACTGAAATTATGAGCATAAAATAATGTGAAATTTAACTGTATATGCTTATCAACTTCAAATCTCCCACACATCACCATTCTGAAATTTAGATGAGTTTAGGTGAGATTTGTAATAGAAAGAACAGCTCATGTTTGCTTAAAAATACCAGGATGTCAAGGAAAATGGAAGAGAGTGACAAGGAATGTGGCACTGTAATAGATCAAAGATCTCCTATCATTCTTTGGATAAAATCCACTTATTATGATATCTGATATCATGATAATTATGAACTCCTTAAAAGTATAAATCTTTTAGCATTTATAATGAACTTTTAAATGTTTCTAGTTCAGATAAAACAACGTTTTAAAAAAGACCACTTTCAATGAAAAGTGATTATTTGAGATGTTTTTAGGTTTGGACATATAACCAATTATAACCCATATTCACATAATTCTTTAAAGAACCTTCAACCATGAATAACTAGCTATATTAAAGATTTAATAAGTGAGACGACTACCCTCAGCATACATATGATTCTCTAGGATGTGCTATTATAAACCAATCCTGTTCGCACTTTATTCCTCTGCATACCTGAGATATTGGTGGTCACATTGATGGCTGTGGCTGGCCCAAAGCCTTTGACTGTGCTGGCTCTTATGAAAAACTGGTAGGTGGTTCCAGGATGCAGATGCATGAAGACATGGTGGGTGCTGTTCCATAAATTTGATACAGTCTGGGGAGGTCCAGCCACTGGAACTGCAGGATCAAATGATCTTATGCTGCTGTAGCTGACCTGTTTTAAGAAATATATTTCCTATTACATACCCAATATAAGTCATAATATAATCTAAATAAACCCCTTTTAAATAAGATAGTATTCAAGGGCATCTCTCTGGAGTGAATCCCATTTTTCTTAAACTTCTCTTCCTTCTCATTTGGATATGGTTATTTCACTATCATTACATATCTAATGTCAGTCCATCTGTCCATCCATCCATCCATCCATCCATCTATAGATATACCTAGAGTTATAACATCTGACTGGACCAATATACATCTATTTTCTTGCATCAAAAGATAAATTAATTTACTTAACTATGAAAACACACATAGACACAATCCTATATACATATAGGATATATATACCTATATATCATATATTTTAATGTATATGAAACACAGAAACCGTTCAACAAATGTTTGTTATAACTAACATCATCTTATACTTTGTCTGAGTTACACAACAAATTTCATGTAAGTATTCAAGTATGCTAATAGAGTCACAAATTATAAGACTGCACTAGTGATTCTGGTTCCCGTGATGCTCTCTGCAGCCACTAGAAATTTAAATATTTTATGCTCGAATCAACACTGACTATGCAGGAACAGAACAACATATTTGTGCAATTAAAATGATCTTTTCTTCTTTTTAGTTTCTCATATTTAAAAATAAGATGATGATTTATGTTCAAAATTGCGATGAAGCTCTGGAATAGTCAGGTTTATAATGTATTTTCCTTTTTTGGTAATGATCCTTTATTCTGTAACAATTGGCATTCACTGGCCTCCCCTAAATTACAGTATAAAATGTGAGTTTCTTAATTTTATAAAAATTCATTCTTTACAACCATCAGTAAGTCTGTTTGAAAAGGCCTATCTTGCGTCCCTAAAACAACAACAACAACAACAACAAAACACACATTTACTTTAAGAATTAGAAAATTCTAGGTGTTATAAAATATTTGTTTTGAAACTGAATTTTGGGATCAAGGAATTTGCAAACTAAAAGAGGGGAGAACTAAAAATGATTTTAGTCTCCTAATCCTCTCTTACTTATTTTCCATTATTTTTCTAAGTTTTTCCTTTTACTCTCCCTTCAACCCACATTTCAAAAATTTTTTTTTCAACGTTTTTTATTTTATTTTTGGGACAGAGAGAGACAGAGCATGAAGGGGGAGGGGCAGAGAGAGACGGAGACACAGAATCGGAAACAGGCTCCAGGCTCTGAGCCATCAGCCCAGAGCCTGACGCAGGGCTCAAACTCACGGACCGGGAGATCGTGACCTGGCTGAAGTCGGACGCTTAACCGACTGCGCCACCCAGGCGCCCCGTCAACCCACATTTCAATTAACTTCTCCTAATACCTCATATTGAGTGATGATTCCATTTGGATCCAAAGGTTCTTTCCAGTTCAAGAAGATTTTATTTTCAAAAGATGTTCCTTGAAGAGAATTGACTGGTACAGGGCCAGGCACTACAAAATATACATTTTTGGTTATAATCCTTATATCAGAAACAGAAAAAGTAAATACTGTAAGCTATATAAGCCAAATGAAAAATAAATAAATAAAATGTGTCCTTAAAAATATAAGCTATGTGACTAGTTTTCTGATTTAAACAAATGGGAATTTAAAGTAATCTACAAACTTCTAATGTGGAAAATGTACAATTGCAAAGTTATTTTTATTCAAAAGAATATTCTATCACCTTGGAGGGTTGAATAAATTGTGTAGTATAGTTTTCTCTGTTGTATACCTCCAATAACATGAAGATCTCATTTGTAATTTGTTTCAAGAACAGAGTTATATTTCCCTGAAAGATATTCAGGGATAAGCCCCTAAAGTGTCTCCATAAACACATTTCATTAAATAATGAATTATAATAATAATCAACACTCCTTGGACTTAATTTTTTTTTTATGTTTTATTTTATATTTGGGAGAAAGAGACAGACAGAGAGAGAGAAGGAAAGAGGCAGAGAGGCGGAGACAGAATCTGAAGCAGGCTCCAGGCTCCGAGCGGTTAGCACAGAGCCTGATGTGGGGCTTGAACTCACAAGCAGTGAGATCATAACCTGAGCCGAAGTTGGACATTTAACGGACTGAGCCACCTAGGTGCCCCATCACTCCTTGGACTTAAAAGCCAAATCAAAATAAAATTGAATTGAAATCTCTGTTAATAGTCAATATGACTTTTATTGCCATACTTATTAAATTTCTATAACTTAAAAAGACAGCATTGATTATTACAATTTTTAAGAAACTTAAAGATGAATAGGTTCAAATATCATGGCTTCAGTGTTTTAAATGAAATTCCCTTTTGTAAACCTAAGCATCAAACCATTTTATAACATCAGACTTGTTTAGGACTCAACAATCAGCATAACCAGTTTTGAAGTGTCCCCAGGTATGACAAGAGCTAAGAAACCTTCAGACCAGACCTTATTTGCAAATGTCATATAACTGACAATACCCAGTGGCAGCAATGAGCAACATGTCAGCTTCTATTGACAAAATGTAAAACATCAGATACTTTTGCTATTTGCTTTTATGTATTTTATCTAAATCCATAGTTACTATTTATTCACACAAATAATCAGTTTCTTGCTCTGATGTTTGAATATGTATCATATCCACCCTACTTTGCTTAAAAAAGGGGTTTTCTTTTGAAATATTGACCCAATATTGGGCAAGTATGGTTTTTAATTAATATTTTTCCTTAATCTAACGTTTCAGTGAACTTCACACATGGCATTATCTAGAAATGTAGTTGCTAAGTATACAGCAATTTTGTGAGGATTGAAATAAATTAAAAATCACTGGATCAAAGGAATTCACTGCATCGTAGCTAGCAGCATCAAGAAATTCTGAACGATACGTCAAAATAGGAAGATTTATTTCAGACTACAAGGAGGCGATGAATGATGTTATGACCTCTGGGACAGCCAATATAATTTGGTGCATTAATAACAAATTCAGAAAGAAAAAAAAAACATAAAAGAAAGAAACCCATCAACAGAAAAGATGTCAGCACTAGACTTCAGAAGAAATGTATATGCTTCTGTCAGCTGAAGCCTTAGGGAGAAGTTAACCAAAGGCATCCACCTCCACATGTCCCAGGTCCACAGTGTTGGCACAGACTATACAGTCTATCAAGGCAGAGGAGGCTGCCACAGGCATTAGTTTGTTTTCCAAGAGGGTTAGCTCTTATGTCCTTTGAGTAGAATGAAAAAAGCATACGATTGTAATTAAGAAAAACCATTTCTTCACCTTTCCACAATGCTCATAGATGGTGGCTATCAGCAGTAGGAGGAGGCAAGACCCCCAATTAGTGACAAAATGTTCATTTGATGGTATTATAATTACTACCTGCGTTCATTAAACACCGTTTGGCCAAAGTTTTAGAAAATGGCGTAGGTGTATTTCAAATTGTTTACCAATAGAGATAGTTTAGAATGTTTGCATAATTCTGCGTTGAAGAGAGGTAGAATTGAGGAGGAGCCTTCCTAGAATGTGTGTGTTTCTTTGCTCTACTTACATAGGTTCTCTTTTGTCAACAGGATTCACTGAAATTACCCACAGGTCATATTTGTAAGAGGGAAAAGTTTGTGGAAAAATTATGGCCAAGATAGTACCATGCTACTGACCTTGCACTGGGACTAGTATAGTGCACAAGAGAAAGACCTACACCTAGGTGAACTACAAAACAAACACATAAACAGGTGGGTCAGGGAGGGGGCACAGACAAATTATACTTAATAACTCCCCACCTTTGAAGGAAGCCAATGTCTGTATATAATGTCTATATGTACTTTGATTTGTGTAAATACAACATGAAGTTACTAAGACCAGCATCATGGTCGTCTTCATATTCCAGGGAATTTCACTTCACGTTTCCACATCAACGACTTTTAATGGAGACAGAATGCTGACTTTCATTCCCCTGTTTCTGATTTATTTGAGAGCCATTTCAGCTTTTTTTTTTTTTTTTTTTTTTTTTTTTTTTTTTTTTTGCATATAATAAAGTCCTTTACAAGATACTCTCAAAATGGAAGAGAGAGGAAAAATGAAATGTGGGTGGGGCAAGTTATATTAAATAAGCACTACAGACTTTTAAAATATAATAAATGTACATTTAAAAATAGCTATGTATTAGCAAAAATTGTCCCCAAACCAAGCTTTACTGCTGAGCTAACTTCATAATATTGATTTTTATAAATGCTAGGATAAAAAATGAAAACAAAATCTCATACAAAAAATTCTACCCATGCATTAAAAAAATGTATGCAATAAATTAAATATAAATTCTACCGTAGGGTTCTGGTGGGAAATCATTTTAGCTTTGCTCTCATGATTTATGGATGCCCCTAGAATTCTTTTCATGAAATTATATTCTTTTATTAGATGGTTGATAATTTATTCTTTTTCTATGTATATAGGGCAGCAATAATTTAGTAAGACTGACTTAATTAGATCATCTTAACCCATCGATCTTTGCAACAATAGATTATGATTTAGATACTCTGTCCCCCTCTCAGGAACATTGAGTCATATCAAATACTCCATGTAGAAACTGGAGCTCACATGAGCAGCTCTGAAGGCTGAGTTCCTCGAAAATATTTTATACAAAGTTTGTACTTCAATCATTCAGTTTTATATATAAAACAAAAGAGAAGAAAAAAAATTCTCACAGAAGAAAGAATGACTTCATGACCATCCTGTGAAATAATAATATGCAATTCAATATCATTATATCCAATAAAAAATTCTTCAAAACATAGGTTGAAATAAAACTAGGATAAGCAATAATACTGAAATTAGACTTATTTTCATTTTACATTTATAAAACTGCTTAGATAGATAAAATAAATAGCACAGTCATGAATCTGATGAAGTTAGGGCAAAATTTAAGATTGTTTTGCAATTCTCTTTCTAATTATTAATCTAGTTGTATGTGCACCCAAAAATGCATTTAAAAATTTAATGGAATATAAAAAAGTTACATGAGCCTGTCTGCATTCTTTGGTTTATGGGAAAGGCAGGCAAAATAAGGGCCATACCAAAATATAGCATCAAAATGAATTATTATTAGAGGGTGATTGGCTGAAGTACAAATGCAGCTGAGTCTAAAATCATCAATTAATAAATCAAGTTTAAAAAATTTTAAGTGTAGGCAATACAATATGTGAGCACATTCTTATTACTAAAAACATGGGTTACAAGGTATTTAGGGTAAAGAGACATTCTAATATTTACCCAACTTTATGACATGAGAGATTTTTCAGAGTTTTTGAATCTGAGCTTAGACTTCCCATTTCTCTCATCCATCTATGAAACAATTATGCTAATTATTCTTTCTTACACAATCATGTGTTGGGTGTCTTTTGTGTGTGTGTGTGTGTGTGTGTGTGTGTGTGTAGGAGTTTATGAGCACTTATGTGCTTATTAAAGCAAGGTTTGTTGTCTGAAATATTGTTAAGGCTTCGATTAGGTACAAGTTCAAGCAGGATAGTTGAAGTAATCATGTTTGGTTACCTTAAAAACAAAAAAGTACAATTATCATAAAGAAGTCTTTGGTTTATTCCTTGAAAATTTTAGGAATATAATAATAACTCCATGCATAATTTTAGAACAATACCATTTCCTTCAAAATCTGAGCTAAATGAAGTTGAAAAGCTCTCACTTCCCTTTATTACAACAAAAATAATGGAATGAACTTGGGTCATTTCCACTTTTCAGAGTGAGAGAGCTTGAAGTGATAAGGAGAAACTTCTAGAAATTGTGGTATATTGACCTATCTTATGGCAGTCTCATAGTTGGTAGGCATCAAAACATACATCTGAGCTGAGATATCAGAACTTGAGGGAGATTGGAAACACTTGGGTATGAACTCCATCCTGTTTTCTGAAACCTAAACAAAATTGTGGCCCTATTGATAGGCTGTTCAAGGAGAAGTTTAGAAGGAGATGGAACCTAAGAGATTATCTTATTTAAACTTTTCACACAGAGATGAGAAGTGGAAATCTAGTGGAGTAAACAGATTGGGTAAGGGAACAGTTATTAGTGCCAGGACTGAAAGTTCACGATTCCTCACTCCCAGCTGATCTTTGCCTCCATTCACTAAATAGCCCACTTTTTCCCTTATATGCTTCCATTCATCATGGTAAATTTTGAAAATGAAACGTCTTACATTGAAATAATACATTATTATTATTATCAGAATATCATCATTTGTACATACTTTTGGGAAGGGCACATTTTTGTTGAATCAAGAAATATATTCATTAACATTAATGACAAACTATATGCTACAGTAAATGTGCACATATTATAATATTAATATAAATGTTTGTCCCTACTATTTAATCATTGTGAAGTAACACACATAGAAATTGGACATAATGTAGTTAAATTTCTTAGGTGGTAATAAAATGGATAAAAGATGATGACTTGTCAATATCAATATTTAGACTTAAAGATACAAACTTCAACCTTCTTTTCTATTTAAACTTACATAAATCCATCTAAAAATGAGTGGAATAGGTAAATAGTGCCAATTAAAAAATTTTTTTGACATTTATTTATTTTTGAGAGACAGAGACAGAGCACAAGTGGGGGAAGGACAGAGAGAGAGGGAGACACAGAATCTGAAGTAGGCTCCAGGCTCTGAGCTGTCAGCACACAGCCTGATGTGGGGTTTGAACCCACAAACCATGAGATCGTGACCTGAGCTGAAGTCAGACGCTCAACCGACTGAGCCACCCAGGCGCCCCTATAGTGCTAATTTTAAGGAAAATTAGGAATATGAGGAAAATAAGGAAAATGAAAGATGCTATTATTGGTTTGTAAATGCAAAAAAAAAAAAAACACACTAAGTTTTAACCAAGTGCATTTCATCAATCAATAGGTAAATGATACAGTGTCACAAACAGTGAAAATTATTTTTGTACAGTTGATAGGAAAAACTTTATTTAAACTTTGGTGTAGTTGTTATTTCTCTAAAGTATAAAAACAAAACATTACAGGGATATTTCATCTAGTATTTGATGCTAGTATTTGATGCTACTCTGAAGAATATTAAGCTTTTTTGTTAAAGACAAACTGTTTTCAAAGTTAACCTCGTTAAGAGCACGTAGCAGATTTCAGAATCCAATTCCATTTTGGTTACTCTACGGAAAACTGTAAGCAATTACATAATCCTGTTATATAATTCCCTCTTTTTAAAATAACGAAGTATGAACATACCATCTTCATCAGTTTGAATAATCGTCTCTTCACTCTCTTTCCTGCCTTCTGGATTGGTTAGGATCATCTTGAGGCTGACATTTGTATAAGGTGGCAGATGGTTCACAACATGCTGAGGGGCTTTGGGGTCCATGTCCAAACAGTCTGCCTTGCTCTCATTGTGACCACGGAAGTAATGGTAGCAGATAGTGACATTAAAAGTGTGGCACCGAGTAATGTTATAACCCAAGGATTCCCAGTCCACAGCAATGCGTCTTGCCTGTATCTCAGCAATCTTTAAAGTCTTTGGGGTTCGCATAGGTTCTGAAAAATAAATCAAAGATGCAGACAGCTGTCAACTTTCCAATGAATAATCTTGGCAAAATGAAACACTGAGCATGACATATGTGTAAACCTAGGAAAATTTAGAAGTCATCTTTTATTGTCATTTTCTTTTTTTATTCCTGGTCTTATTCCTGAAAGTTTCAGTCAGGGGCTGTGATTTACCAATAGGAAAAGAAATGTAAAATGTTGGCAATCCATAGTACTCAGGAACATGGCGGAAAAACAAAACTCTGAAAATGTGGCCACAATGCCTTTATGGTTACTGCTGTTGTTACTGCCCAATTCCCTGTCTCTCTTTTTTTTTTGTCATTACTGAGCAAGTGAATTAGCTAATATATCATAATGGATAAGAGTCAACACGTTCTGCTCTATGATTTGTCATGTCACCAAGCTATGGTGTATACTAATTAGTCTAATTGTAATACTAAACTACCATTTACCAAAAAGTGATGCAGATATTAATTAACATTTATTATCTCAGTAATGATGTTGTTCATCAAAGCAGAAAAATATCTGAGAAAAATGGTGAGAACACATGTGGATATTCACATTGTCATCTATCCTTCTTGATCTCTTTCTATCTTTTTCTAGGAAGCACTCAGGTCTGACAATCCAGTCACTGTCACCCAAACCAAACTGGGAGGTGAATTTCCATTCAACTGGAAAATGCTGGCAGAACTAAACACTCTAAAGACTGGAGTCTATCCATCACTGCTTCCCAAGTGTATTCTTTCCTCATGCAAGACTAACTTTAATCGTCTAACTTAATCAAAATAATTACTCTATGAAAGTCATGGCCATGGCAAAGTCTACATAGTAAACAAACCAACACAGAGCAAAGCTTTAATACATAGATTTGACAAAGAGATTAAAGTCAAGGCCAAGGTCAAAGCCCTGTTTGTATCTTCCTTAACTCACTAAGAATAGTCAATGCTCTTGCTAAATGGAAGTCAGTAGAAGAAAAAGAAGGAAAATAAATAATACAAAAAAGCCCAATTTGGGTGTTTTTATAAATTTTCATTTTTGAGATTAAAATCTCAGTTCTGTAAAAATAATCAGCATGGTATACAGATGGCAAGCCCAAACTGGGATTCCAGTTCAATGTATTATATGTGCCATCTGAAACACACTCTCGTGGCCATTTAAAACTTCAAAAGTACAAAAATACATACATATATATGCAAATTAATCCTTGGTGGAATCCAATGGTTAGGTTTTAAATGCTGTGTGCCAGTCTTCTGATGAATCACAGTATTCAGTCTTCTTATTTTATCACTTTTGTTTTACGTGTTTTACATTAAGCCCTGTAAGTAGGCTAGAAAAAAAGACTGTGGCTTTCTAATCATTAAAAAAAGTCTCTTTATATGTTTAGCTCTATGCTTACAATTTCCCCACCAGGCACGGGAGTGAGGTGATGACACATACAGTTCAGTCCAGTAAGACTGAAAACACATTCTTTGGCACCACTGCCCACAAAGATGACCAGGCAGTTGTAGGCAGTATCATCCTAAAATTCCAGATAAACTTTCTTCCTGTCTGCTAGGTAGCAACCTGACGCAGTTTAGGGGTCATGTTCAGGTTAGGCCATACTTTGTGACAGAATATCCAGAATAACAAAGTAGGATTTCTATCCAAAATACTTGGGAGTATATGAATGAAAATCTCCCATAAAGTAATGAGAACAAACATCAATAGATATTTACTGCTCTGTTTCAGGTTTCCTTTAAATCTACTACTTATATCCTTGAAACACCTCTTATTTTGAATCAGAAATTTCCCCCTTTATAAATTTCTCTATTTCCAAGTCATCACTCTCTTTCATTCTTTTCATTTTATCCCACTGTTCAACTTGCACTTGCTCTGCATTCTAAGACAATTTTAAAAGCATAAAGAAAAGTGTAAAATAAATTGAAGAAGACACAAATAAATGGTAAGATTTTCTGTGCTCATGAACTGGAAGAATTGATATTGTTAAAATGTCCATACTATACAAAGCAATCTGTAGATTCAAGGCAATAACTATCAAAATTCCAATGGTATTTTTCAAAGAAATAGAATGAACAATCTTAAAATTTGTATATAAACATTAAAGACGCTGGAAAGCCAAAGCAATCTTAAGAATGAAGTACAAAGCAAGAGGCATCATGCTCCCTGATTTCAAATTACATTACAAAGCTATAGTAATTAAAACAACTTCTTTCTGACACAAAAACAGACACACGGATCAATGGAACAGAATACAAAGCCCAGAAATAACAACCCATGCATATACGAACTATTATTTACAGCAAAGTAGCCAAGAATATACAATGGGGAGAGAACAGTCTCCTTAATATAAGGTGTTGGGAAGGCTGTACAGCCACACAAAAAGAATGAAACTGGACCATTATTTTGTACCATATACAAAAATTAACTCAAAATAGATAAAAATCTTCAATATAAGACCTGAAACCATAGAACCCCTAGAAGAAAATATAGGCAGTAAACCCCTTGACATAGGTCTTAGTGATGAGTTTTTAAATCAAACACAAAAAGTAAAAGCAACAAAAGGAAAAACACATAAGTGGGGCTGCATAATACTAAACAAAAAGCTTCTATTCAACAAAGGAAATCAACAAGATGAAGTCACCCTACTGAGTGGGAGAAAATACTTGCAAATCACATATTTAATAAGGGGCTAATATCCAAAATATATAAAGAACTCATGTAACTCAATAGCAAAACAAGATTTTTTTGATTAAAAAGTGGGCAGCATATCTGAATAGACATTTGTCCAAAGATGAAATACAGATGGCCAACAGGTACATGAAAAGATGCTCAACATCATTAATCATCAGGGAAATGCAAATGAAAAACATAAGGAGATATCACCTCATACCAATTAACATGACTGCTATCAAAAAGAAAAAATAGCAAGTGTTGGCAATGATGTGGAGAAAAGGGAACCCTTGGGCACTGTTGGTGGGAATGGAAACTAGTGCAGCCACCATGGGAAACGGAATGGAGTTTCCTTAAAAAAATCAAAAATAGGACTACCACATGATCTAGCAATTCCACTTTTGGGTATTTATACAAAGAAAACAAAACATTGGAAAGACACATACACCCCCATGTTTATTGCAGCATTATTTACAAAGCCAAGATATGGAAGTCACCAAAGTGTGCATGTGTATATACATATGTACAGTGGGATATTACTCAGCCATAAAAATAACGAAATCTTGACATCTGTGACAGCATGAATGGACCTTGAGGGTATTATGCTAAGTGAAATCAGTCAGGCAGACAAAGACAAATACCATATGTTTTCTCTTATATGTGGAATATATAAAAAATTTAAAAATAGAAAAGAAAAAAATGAATGAAGCTCATAGATTCAGAGGATAGATTGATGGTTGCCAGAAGTGGGGGTGTGAGAGTAGAAGAATGGGTAAAAAGGTTACACATTTATTTGTAAAAGTCAAATTAAAAAATGTAACAGTGCTAGAGATGTATGACATAACTTCATTGGATGGAGTAAGGAAAAATTTTACCTAAGCAACTCAGGAAATTAGTAGAGAGTTTAAGACAACAAACAAACAACAAACAAACAAACAAACAAAAAAAACCAGTGGATATTCCTAGTAATGATTTAAAGTTTATAGATGACTTTATGGTGTAGTCATCATAGAGACCACATTTCTGAACAGCAAATGTAGAGGTCTGTTCAAAGAAAAAGAAAACCTGTCACACCTGTCAGAATGACTAAAATCAAATACACGGGAAACAACACATGTTGGGAGGATGTCGAGAAGAAGGAACCCTCTTGCACTGCTTCTGGGAATGTAAACAGGGACACTCTATGAACCAATAACCACACTACTGGGAATTTATCCCCAAATACAGAAGCATTAATTCAAAGGGATACATACACCCCTAAGTTTATGGCAGCATTATTTACAATAGTCAAATTATGGAAGGAGCCAACTATCCTGGATACATGAATGGACAAAGAAGAGGTGATATATATATATATATATATATATATATGCAGA